GAGGGTTTACACCTTGCTTAGCGGTTATATAGTAGCACTTAAAAGAAACCAAAGTGTTCCAGGTCACTTGAGATATAAATCACAAGAATGACTGGCAGAGGCCATTGTCTACAAATGACCTGTGGGTTTTTTTTAAAAAAAACTTGACCTTCAGCTCAATTTATGTGAAAGGTTCAAATGTTTGACTTGATCGAATGAAAATGCAACACTAAAAGTCTCATTTATTCTATCCAAATGCACTTGACCAACTTTTTGTTGTGGCACATTTCCTTCAACACAGGGCAAGTCATTCTACGTTGCTTAAACTTGGCACCAAGACCATCATGTTAAGTCATTATGCAAACCCATCAACAGCCTGCAGTGGGGTTTCATTTTGACCTCAAGAAATTACAGGGAAAAAGAATGCCATCATTAGTTTGCATTTCAGTAAGAAGGTGTACCAGTTCCACTGGCTTTTTTTTGCGGAAGAACAGCCTACATAGAATTTTACACTATTTCAAATCAGCGCTGTATCGATAACAACAAATTACATTTGGATAGTGCCTTTCACGTCAGGAGGACGTCCTCAGGCTGAGTCTCACATCATCAGTTTCAAACTGGAACTAAATGGGGCTAACCACAGTGCAGGTTCCTCGGCTTTCCTCTTGTTTGCTTATGGCTGATAAACTTGGTATTGTTAAGTCAATCAAATACTGGGCATTCTAGCTACGGTATTTTACCTCATGAGCATGCATAAGAAGGGAATGGGTGAGGGGAATCGGAGGTGTGGAGGTTAAACACTGGCATGGATGGCCTGTTTCAGTACCACATTACTCTACGTAACTTTTTTTGTTCCTTTTAGAAAACAGAAAGAGAAACAAAACTATTGCTATAATAATCCTTACGTTTGATAGTCATTCACATAGGGAGGACTTTTCAAAGTGCTTCCCAGGATATACAGTAAATGTAGTAACTTTGTGTTTGGTAGGCAAACTTGGTAGCCAATTTGTGCACAGTAACGTCCCACAAAAACCTGTGAAGTGAATGACCAATTTTCCAGGAGAAACTCCCTTCTCTTTTCAAATAATATCTGGTATCTTTATGTCCACGACACGATCAGGCAGACGGGGCCTTATCATTTCACCTGAATGGCACGATCTCCAACAATGCAGCACACCTCCAGCACTGCACAGGAGTGTCAGCCTAGAAGACTATGGGAGTTCAAAGTCCTTACACTAGACTTCAACCCACAAGCTTCTGACTCAGAGGCCAAGAGTGTATATAACCGCTAAGCAAGGTGTAAGCCCTCTCATTTTTAAGTATAACTCCCAAGATAGAGGTTGCAAGTCAAAGCCATAACAAGTAGGGTGGTCCTAACTGGACAAGTAGCAGGAAAGCTGGAAGACAGTGCTCTCAGTGGCAAGCTATGCAGGTTTAGCTGGTTATACTCCAGCAGTACCCAACACACACTCTGGGGTCTTCAAGACTTGGCTCTTGCCAATCCCTCCAAAAAACAAAAACAATAATAAATTGGTCATTTTCAATCCACGACTGTTTGTGGGACACTGCTGTGCGCAATTGGCTGCCGCGTTTCGCCCACAAATATACAGTCAATTCAGTTTACAGTCTATTCTGTGAAGCGCTTTGAGATGTCGATAAGACGTGAAAAGCGCTATATCAAATGCAAAGATTATTATTATTATAATTTGCGGCTAATATCTTCCAGAATTAGATAAACAGGATGTGTCCCTCCTGGGAGAGATTGCACATTCCATTCCAATAAACATCTCTGAAATTTCCATGTGGAGGTGAGATGCATGGAACTCTCAGTTTGGTTTGGATACTCTTAAGCATGGTGATGGGTTTTCACATGTAATAAACACTAAACTTAACAAGCATTTGTTCCTATTTTTATTATTTTTAAACGCTTCAATTTATATGGTGTCGGTCTCACTGGAGAAGCTGGTTCAAAGGAATTTCTGTGCCCAACAATGCGAGGCTGACTTTTGGCATGCACAGATTCAATCAAATGAGAATCCTGACTTCATGACTGTATCTCTGCTCATATTCATTCTGCTGCTTCACACTCTGTGGCTGGTAATATTCTGGGATAGGTATAACAATTCTATAATCCTTGCGTTTCGCCCCCAAAATCTAGTCAACTCACTTTAAGGTATATTCTTGTGAAGCTCTTTGGGATGTCTCAAAGATGTGATAAGGTGCTATATGAAATGCAAGGACTATTATTATTTGATATAGTGCCTCATCACATCATTGAGACATCTCAAAGCGCTTCACAGGATATACTCTAAAGTAGTGCAACTGTGTGTATATCACTACTATTATAGATTATTATTATTATTATTATCATCATCAACATGACAAGTTATTCAACTAGAATTTATGATTGAATTTGGGAAGGTATTGCTGATCTGTTATTCATCCACTAAGCAACTTGGCTTAGATTGGAACTCAGCAGCTTGGGGTGAAAATTACAGACATAAATCCTGCACCTCATCATTCCAAAGTCTTTCACGGTTCATCTTGATCAAATTTCACCAACTACGATACGATTTGCTAGTTTTCTAGCTCTATACACAAAAATAGTTAATTTAATTTGTTCTTAAGCTCCCATTCACAAACCTGTTAAGTGTCACAGTAGAGAAATCAGAACAGTTGGATCCGATCACTTGAACCGAAGAACTGCATCACCATCCACTCAAAGGACCATAACATAACCACCGATCCATATATACAGACACAATGTCTCAAACATTTGGGACTGTAAAGGGTTAATGAGGCCCAGCTTTGTAACCAATCTTTTTGCGTATGTGCAATTGTTAAATAGATGGCAGTGGACCAAGATTCTAATGTGTGGCCAACAGTTAAATATGATTCACGCACTCCAGGAGGTAACTCAGCACAGGCCAAAGCTAAACTTTATTTGCACCAAGTAGCCATCAGGAAATAGTTCAAAGACTAAAATAAGGGCTTTCAAATCTGCCTCAATCAATTTAAAGGAGTTCAGTGGATAACAGGGTCCAGATCCTAGCATTCTTTAGTCAATATGAAGATTTTGGAAGAAAAGCAAGTGGCTCACAAAGCTTGCTAAAACTTCGCAAAACTATGGCAGGGCCAGAGATGAATTCAATCATTAAGAAATTCCACACTTTAAACCAAGTTTACAATACATCTATAATAATCATAATCTTTGCATTTGATATAGTGCCTTATCACATCTTCGAGACGATTCAAAGCGCTTCACAGGATACACTGTATAGTGAATTGACTGTATATTTTGTGGGCAAAACGCAACAGCTAATTGCGCACAGCAGTGTCCCACAAACAGTTGTGCATTGAGTGACCAAATTTCTTTTTGAGGGATTATTACATCCTGTATTATTATCTATTTATATTATATATTATCTTTATTCTGAAAGAGATGAAAAGCAGGAGTCTCTGCTGCCTATTAAATACAAGGAAATGATTCTTGGTCCTGAATGCCAACCCTGTTAATATATAATAATCCTTGCATTTGATTGTGTGTCTTATCTCAAAGCAGTTCACTTACATTTTCTGTAAAGTACATTTGTAAGCAAACACGACAGGCACTTTTCGTACAGCAATGTCCTACAAACAGCCTTGAAGTAAGTGACTAATTCCATCTGGAGGATTGTTAGCCAGGATACCAGTTAACAAGAGAAGAAACTCCCTTCTCTTTTCAAGTAGAAAAGGACTTTTCAAGGATCTTTAACACCTATCTGAACAGGCAGACATGACTGACCTCAGTTTAGTGTCTCATTCAAGGGATAGCACCTTGGAAAATGCAGCGCTGCCCCCAACACTGCACTTAAGTGTCAACCTAAACTATGTGAATTCAAAGTTGCAAAGAACAAGAAAATCACACGTAAATGAATTGCACACACATCTTCCTATCAGAGAATTTCTAAAAGATCTTTCAAGTTGTAATAATTTGGCCTGGCTACTTCCACCGCCAATGAAGAATTTCTTATTTTAGTGCACAGCGAAAGATCAGAATGTGTATTGACAAATGAAGTATAAATGAAGGGAGGGAGGGTGTAGGGGACCATAAGCATAATCAAAAAGGTCTATATACTGGATTTGAAAGTTGGGAGGGAGGGGGGCAAGGTGCAGGGATTGAGGGAGAGAATTCCAGAGCATAGTGGCTGAAGGCACAGCCACCGATAGTGGAACGGAGGGGATAAGAGACAAACAGGATGCTGGAGCCAGCCGCGCGGAGGCAGTGGGTGGTGGAGTGGGGGTTAAGCAGATCATATAGATAGGGAGATGCGAGAGCATGAAGGGATTTGAAAACAAGTGAGAGGATCTTGAAATTGATCTGTTCAGTAATTGGTAATCATTGCAGCCTGGCAAAAATTGGTGTGATGGGGGTACAAAATTTTGTGCTGGTGAGTATCGAGGTGGCGAGTTTTGGATTAATTGAATTTTGTGTATGGTGGAGCTGGGAAGACCAGCAAGGAGAGAATTGGAATATTATACCAATGGAATATAAAAGTATGGATGCAAAATGTCATCCATACTTTTATATTCAAATCACATTTACATTAATGGATCAATATACTGTGTACACAATTGGGAGTCACCGGATTCACAAATATTGAATCGGAATATAACGGTTTCCCTTCGTGGCTGAAGATGGCTTTTCAAACATTGTGAACACCTGGATGTGTGAATTTGTTTATAGTGTAGAAGCTGCTACCTGCACAGCAACCACACTCTTGGACAGCAAGCACTGTAACCTGGTGTCAAGGAATATCCAAGAAGACCAGACCAGACTGGCAGAAACCATTACCCCTGGAAAGCGATCCACCAATCAACTAACAATAAGGATCCTACTTACTGCTAGGTGAACAGAGACATGTGGAGTAAAGAAACTTGCCTGGTAAGGTTTCAACTCGCCTGGTAATTGAACCCAGGTCCTCCCACTTGCGAGGTGAGTGCTCTAAACGCAGACTTATAATCATTGATCTTATACATACCCCATATTCTTTAGCTGCAGTGGCCACACTAAACAAGATATCTTCCTCCACAAAAGGTCTCACAGCATCGTGGATGATAACTACTTCAGGCTTGGCCAGCCGAGATCCATGGGGCTGGTTTTCCACAAATGCTTTGAGCCCATTGAAGATGGATCTGTGCCGAGTCAGTGCACCTTCAACCACTGTAACCCTTGAGTTACCGTATTGTTGTATAATAGAGTTCATCAGTTCAATGTTCTGCTTTGCCACCACCACCACAATTTCTTTGATCCAGGGAATTCTGTAAAGATAAATAAGAGTGAGCAAAAATAAAACTGTAGAAATACTTTACAAAATAACAATCCTGATTGAATAAAGTTAATGAAGTGTAAGGTAAGAGTGCCAGCCTAACTCAGTTGGCAGCATTCTCAACTAAGAGTCGGAAGGTTGTGGTTTGAAGACGTTAACATGTTGAGACCTTGAGCTCACAATTTGTGGCTCACAATGTTAAGCTGAATTCCAATGTGGCATTGTCCAAGGTTCTGTCCTTTGGACAAGATGTTAAACTGAGGTCCCATTTGCTTGTTCAAGTGGATGTTGATAATCTATTAAAAAAAGGAGTTTCTTCCAATGTTTCGACAAGTTGGTCATTCACATCATGGCTGTTTTTGAGACACTGCTTTGTAAATTGGCTGCCGTGTTCACCAACAAATACACAGTCAATACATTTCACAGTAAATTCTGCGAATTAGTTTGAGATTTTCAATGACGTGATAAAGCTTATATTAAATGCAAGGTTATTTTATATTATTATCCAAGTTATTCTAAATTTGCTTCTCTATACCCTTTAATACCCTTCCTCTGCATGTCCAATTATTTTTTTCACCTCAAATCCCTTAACAGCAGGAAAAGGTTTTCACGATTAATTCTCTCAATTTCTTTCATTATCTTAAACCACTTCTATCAAATTATTCCTCAACCTTCTCTTCTGAAATTGGAAAAGTCCTAACCTCTCCAGCTTCCCCTCCACGCTATATAATAATAATCCTAGTGAACACCTACCCTACATTCTCACCATAGATCCAAAATGCTACAATGTTAGGTAATCATAAGGCAACTTATTATATTACTTTTACATCAATTGTGCAAAGTCTGAAACATTTCTTTCAGGAATTCTGCAGGAAATATAATTTATCCTGATATTAAAAAATAGACGTTTTTGGCGACAGTTACATTTCCTGAGACTACCGCAGCATGTTGCTTCAGGGTTATATAATAAATCTGCTTCATTCCAGACATCCGAGAATCCACCATCCTTCCAATTATATTATCCTGGTATTTCTTTCCAACACTGTTTGAAGACATCTTATACCGCAAAATATGAAAGCCATGCATTAATAAATAATGTGGTTACTCGATCCACGGGTGTTTGTGGACACTGTTGTGTGCAATTGGCTGCTACGTTTTGCCCAGAAAATATACAGTCAATTCATTTTACAGTACATTCTGTGAAGCACTTTGAAACATCACGGAGATGTGATAAGGTGCTATATTAAATGCAAGGATTGATATTAGTAGAACTGTACATTCATTGAAAATTAATAAATTCTACTTTCCCGTTTTAAAACATTCAAAAGTGGAACCTTTTCTAGCTTGTCCAAGGTCATAAACATCACTAATGAACTACAAAAGTTATATTTCTAGTGAATTAAAGGAGTTAAGTGTTGACAATTGGAAAATAAAAGCAAATCCAAGTTTGAGCAAACTATTATTTCCTTCTGTATGGCTTTCATTTACTACAATATTGCTTCATACTTCAAACCTCCTACCAATCTGCCCACTCCCTCCGCTCAACAGGCTCCAGCCTACTTCACATCACCCGACTCCCACACCCCACTATTGGCGGGCAGGCCTTCCATCACTCTTCCCCCACCCTCTGGAATTCCATTTCACAGTTCCTCTGCCTCGCCCCCTCCCTTGCCTTCTTCAAGACCCTTCTCAAGACCCTCCTCTTTGTCCATGCCTTCGGTCACCTTCCTACCTCCCCTGCCCTTTACCCTCCCCAATCTCAACCCCCAGCTCGGGTTTGAAACACTGACTGTCCAGCACCTTGGGACGACCTCCCAACATGAAAGGCCCAATACAAATGTAATTTTTTTGTTGTTGTTCATTTGCTATCTTATTTCCCAAGCTTTTTTGGACATACTGTGGAGTCCTGTAGCTCAGTGGTTAGAGCACTCGCTTTGCAAGCGAGAGACCTGAGTTCAATTCCAGGCAGAGGGCGAAACCTTGGGCAAGTTTCCTTACTCCACACAGAGCCTAATAATAATCCCTCCAAAACAAAACAATAATAATTGGTCATTTTCAATCTACGACTGTTTGTGGGACATTGCTGTGCGCAATTGGCTGCCGCGTTCGCCCACAAATATACAGTCAATTCACTTTACAGTGTGTTCTGTGAAGCGCTTTGGGACGTCCTCTCGACGTGAAAAGCGCTATATCAAATGCAAGGATTATTATTATTATTATTATTATACCTTCATTTTTAACAGACTGACTATCTGCCTGCAATACCTGCAAGGAAAAGATACCAAGTTAGGTTCCTGTGAATTAAAAGGCCACATCAGGACCATGGAGAAGTGGATAGAGTCCAGCCAGTATCCTTTGTTCGACTTACAATAAATTTATTCCTAGAGATTTGAAATTGAAATGTCCTTATTCTGCTACCATACGGACACAAGATAGGATAACAAAAAGACATTAAGCCCTGCTATTTTCTCCCCCTGCAGTTTACACTCAATGATCATATGCATCTTCACACAATTTAATATAAAACTGTCCATTTCCGCCACACTGTCCATTTGCTCCACTAAAGCAATCTATTTTTTTTATCAGCTGAGTGTCGGACACATGCGGAAACCCATCACCAAACCATAGCTGAGATTTCCACGCATCCCACCTACAATTGGAAATCCCAAAGATAGATTGTTGGAATAGAATACACACTCTCTCCCTGGAGGGACCCGTCCTGTTTACCTAATTCCAGAAAGTATTGGGCGCAGGTTGGCAAGACTTGGTTACTAATGCCAGATGTTTTCAATTGTAAATTAGTTTCTTTAAAGTAGACTTTTTCTATTTTCTTATTCTGCTACCAGCAACACCCTCTCTCCCCACCCCAAAAAATATAACAGAAAACAGGTCAATACTGCAATTTCCAGCGCCAACAGCTGGCTTCTGCGTTACAAAATGGACAGCTTCTGGGTCATCAGATCACCGCTGACAGCACTTCTAGTGCAATGGCAGGAACCATACTCATATAACTTCCTGCTCTTGGCATGCAAAACTTTAAAAGTGACATCAGTGATGACCTGATGATCTAACATCCTTTTCATACTCCATTTATAATGTGGGGTCCAGGATATTGGGCCTAGATCATGACATTTATTAGGGTCGCCCTGTAATTACTTCAGGTCCTCCTCAGGGAGAATAATAAGTCATCTATCTAGAACAATGGTTGAGGCTAAATCCATATTACCTTTTAAAGGGAATTAGTTAAATATACGAAAATAAATAAAGGACAAATAAAAGAGCCTGCACAGACAATGAGCTAAATGACCTCCATCGGCGCTATACATTTCTGTGGCTCTATCCACGCTAGCAGCTAGCTCAACCGTGAAGCCGGTAAAGGGGCGAGGTGATTTAAAATGTGGGAAAATATTTATAACATGTTTCATTGTTCGGTCCACAATACAAGAGCTGTGAATGATTGTTATAGACGCACCTGAATTCTCATTACTTATTGAGAGATAACAGAACACTGTTAATTTTTAACCATCAATAGCTTTTGCCTTCACACCTTTTGGTTTTAAACACAAAACATTCCCTTTACAACGTCACTGCCGTCATCAAACTGAAGAACCAAGGAAACCCATGAGAAGCTCCTGAAATTACATGTTAAGATACTGTCATGAGTTTTCATAATTCAACAAAACATCTTTGAGTTTCTGAGGCAATTTTTTGGTGACACTGGTGATATTTTCAGCACCCTTGGACGTCTTTCCGACGTGAAGGATCCTATACAAATGTAATTTGTTGTTGTTGCATTTTCATATAGAACTAATAATTGGATGGTTCTTAACACAGAACTTGAGAAGGGATATTCATTGAAACGCCAATGTTTTTTGTTTAAATCCTGTACTTCAGTTCTGCTTATTCTTGAAGGTCTGAAGAGAATCCACAAAAATGTTGTTGACATTATTGTGATTTTCCACCGGCACAGAGAGCATGATAGCAATGTTCCTTCAGTAAATTGACCGAAGGTTTCTTGCATTGAGAAAACATAAACTCTCTACAGTGAAGCGCCTGATATAAGAACTGACCAGAGGGACTGCAATAAAATAACTATACTTGCATTTGATATCTTGTCATGGTTTTTTGACGCTCACCTGAACTAACAGATGTGACCTCTGATTAACGTATCATCCAAAGAACAGCACCTCTGATAAGTAGCACTTCTCTGACACTGCACTTGAGTGTCAGCCTGAACTGTGAGCAAATGCGGCTTGAACACTCAACCTTGTGACTCATAGGTGAGAGGGCTACCAACTAAATCAAGTTGATATCATTGTCTTCTGGTCCTGCCCATTCCAATATAAAAATACCAAACTGCACCGTATAGGCAGTGAAATGGGATTAAGGGAAGTGGTAGCATATAGTGCCATAACATGTTCGGTGGAGAAGCAAGCTCCATTGATCTTCTAAATTTCTATGTAACTTTCAGATCCGACCTCAGGTTTTTTAATTTGATATGAAGGATACTTGAAAAGCTAAACTAAGAATCAGCACTATAGGCATGTCTTAAAACGTACCTCTTTGACAGCGCTTTCTTTCGGTCATCTTTCCCCTCACCACCCACATTGACTCCCACTCCCCAGCTCAGGTACCCATCCAGCATTGTGAAGCGCTTTTGAGATGTCCTCTCTATGTGAAAGGCACTATGTGAATGAAAATAGTATGGTTGTATTGTATTTCATTGAGAATGAACCCCAAAATCCTAGGCATTAACAGATCAAAAAGAATAGACAACCTTTAGCAATACAATTAACTCAGGCTCAGAAACCAGACTTTGAAATGTTGAGACTGAGACATACTAGCAGATACAACAAGCCCAGACTCCATTATCCTAGGCTGACAAAATCATTCCAGAATAAGACAGTAGCAAAGGTAACAAGTCTACACCATCTCAATAAGCTCAGACAGACACTTAGAATCAAATATAACAGTCCAGATAAAAACTACAGTTCAAATGCAAGCAAGGTTGAGTGTCAGAACAGGTAAATGATAAATGCATATTGAAAGATGTTGAGGCATGCACTGATATTCTGCAGACAAAAATGTATAACCCACAGAGGAAAATGGATGAGTTATGTCTTGAGTTGCAGACAAAAACATTTAACCTGCAGACAGAAATTCGAGCAGGATATGTACATAATTTGAGTTATGGGGAACTGCATCACATTGGAAAATATCACAGCCTTGTTCACTATGGGCAAAGAATAGCTGAAAATGTATAGATGCGTAAAAAAGAACACCACAGAATACTGCACCACAGTATGTGAAATGCATCATCTCGCTAGAAGCATCAGTGGAACAGACTATAACCCATTTAAAAAGATCAGAAATGTTTTAACCTCTAGCTCCAAGAGGAGATGAAGATGACCAGACAAATCCTTAAGGATCCGGATAAGAATGCAAGAGACTCTCATTATTGTTGGGTCAATCAGATGCGGGAACCCATTACCATGCTTAAGAGTATCCAAACTAAGAATTCCAGGTATCTCACTTACACATGGAATTTCCAGAGATAGATTGTTGCAATGGAATGGGCACTCTCTCCCTGGAGAGACACATCCTGCTTACCTAATTCTGGAAAGTATTAGGCCCACTTTGGCAAAAGCCAAGGATTGAGGCCCCCAGAGTGTGCTGGAGTCTAACCAGCTAATGCATAGCTTGCCATTAATATAGTCTGGCAAGCTTTTCCGCTGCTTATCCAGCTAGAGCCACCCAACCCATTAGGGCTTGGGCTTGCAGGGTTAACAGGAGCTGAGTGGGATGATTCCCTGGCTCCAGTGTCTGTTCTGCCTTCCAAGTCCTGCCAATAAGACAGGCCAACTGTGCCATTACCAGCAGTGCCCTGGAATACTGCGGATCTGCTTGGCTCAGGAACCACACTATCAAGACCACCACAGAGGTTTGGCTCAATTCCGACATTCCATTGCCAGGCATGTCACCTGGAGCCAGTTCAGCCCCAAGGAGATCTCGCTTATCTCCCCCCGAAGGAGGATAGTCACTAGTTGATCATTCAACATCCGACAATCACGGGTTTGAATCCTCATTAGAGGAATAATAATCCTTGCATTTGATATAGCACCTTATCATGTCTTCGAGATGTCTCAAAGCACTTCAAAGAATATACTGTAAAGTGAATTGACTGTATATTTTGTGGGCGAAAGTCAGCAGTCAATTGCGCACAGCAGTGTCCCACAAACAGTTGTGGATTGAATGTCCAAATTAGTATTATTGTTTTATATTTTTTGAAAGAATTATTACCCCTGGAAAAGCGATCCGCCAATCGACTAATAACCAGGTTCCAATTTACTGCTAGGTAAACAGAGGCTTGTGGAGTAAGAAAACTTGCTGAACATTTCGCCCTGCCGGGAATCGAACCCAGTGGGTAGGCACCAGCAGATGTTTAATTTTAGCGCCTTGGGACGTCCTCCCGACATGAAAGGCACTCTGTAAATTTAATTTTGTTGTTGTTGTTTAGACTTTGGAATAGCAGATTATGCAACAAATGGGAGAATAACATAGGAACAATCTTATTAAAAAAACAAGATAAACAGTGAAGAACACAGTTCTAGTTACAACAATCTAATTTTTTCAGATGACCTTAGATATCAGAACAAGAAGATTTAGCATATTATAATGTTGAGGTTTATTTATTGTAAACCTTACTCAGATTACAGCGAATGTCCAAGTGGTAAGTATTATGAGCTTGTCAATGTAGTACATGATTGCTTCCTGATTCAGTGTCAGGAAGCCCATAAAGGGCAGTTATTTCCTTGACATAGTTCCAGTCAGTGACCCCTACACCGTTCATAGAGTAAAAGTCTACAGTGACCACAACTCAATACCATATGGTTTCAAAAAGCACAAGCACACAACCAAACTCTAGTGTACGGCTTTATACGAGAAAATATCAGAGATATGAGGGCTGAGCTAAGAGCCATAGACTGGAAGGCTTTACTCAAGCAAACAATTTGAGGAAACCTGAACATCTACCAAAAACATGCAGAGCAAGTTGATTAAATGTATACCCAAGTGCAGCAGAGGCAAATTAAGATCAATTAACTAATTCAGTCATAAAGCACAGGATGCAAGGTAGAATCCTTCTTGGTCTGTGTGGCTCAGTAGCAATGCATTGTTCATCCAATAAGGGAGAAAGCTGATGTTTCTGTTTTACATTTTGAACCTACAACTCTCTGATTCAGAGGACACAGAGCTATACCAACTGAGCCAGGCTGACACATGATCTGAGATGTTTTGCTTTCTTTCAAAAAATATTCTTAGGACCAGTTTTAAAAGAAATACAGTATACACGAAGTTTGGAGGACATGCAGCAAGTCCACTGAGCAAATGACTGTGAAATCATAAACCTCTTTGGTAACCATGAGACAGGTAGAACAAAATAACAATCACTGCCTAAAGTATTTGGGTTGGGGGGGAGTAGGGAAGTTTCTTTCAGATATATTTATAAAAAGCCATAAGAGTACATTACAAGCTGATACTACAATTTCAGTCATCCTCCAGCACTCAAAAACATTGAGATGGACAACTTAAAAAAGCTTGTGAATTTGTAAGAGAAAAATAATTGTCTGGGAAATTAAAAATTAAATATGCAACAACTACGGCTTTATATAGCAGCCTTCACGCTGGGTAGCCTACCAGAGCTCTTGACATTGGACACTGCTGTGCAAATTGCTCTTGCGTTTGCCTACAAATACAGTCACTACACCTTACAGTAGTACTGCTAAATGCTTTGAGATTTTTCAACAATGTGTTAAGGCGCTACATCAAAAGAAATGATTAACCATTAATATAGTTAATATATTATCTTAAAGGGGAACAGAAAAGAATAAGGACTTCCTGGCCGTGAGGCCGCTGCTGACATACCTTCCTGAACACTGAGCCACAGGTACAAGCGGTGACATCTGACAATAATAATTATTGCATTTGATAATAGTACCTTATCACGTCTTCAAGACGTCTTAAAGCGCTCCAACAACAAGTTACATTTGTATAGCGCTTTGCACATTGGGAGGACGTCCCAAGGTGCTGGAGGGTGCACGTGAAGGTGTAGTGACTGTGCATTTTATGGGGGGGAAACGTGGAAGTTGAGAGGAGACACTGCGCGCAGTGCTCACACCCGTCACATCACACACACGTTCTCCCCGCGGTATTGTGACGTCACAGAGGTAACCATGGAGCCGGGGAACGCCGTGTGATCCCGGGCTGAAGCGCTACTGTGACGTCACAGAGGTAACCATGGAGCCGGGGAACGCCGTGTGGGCGGCGGTGCGGGGGCTGCGGCCCGCGGGCCGCACTCACCTGTGCAGCGCCCGGAGGCTCAGGCTGACCAGCGGCGTGTTCAGGAGGCGGCAGAACTGCTTGGGGGTGGCCGCCCCCAGTCTCTCCCCGCTCCCCCCCGCGGGCAGCACGGCCCCCACCCAGAAATCCACCTCCCGGCTCGCCGCGGCCCTCTCCTCGCCCGGGCCAGGCCGGTTGCCAAGCCACGTTGGAGCCGCTCCGGCCCCGAGGCTCTGGGCCGCTCCCGCCTCCTCCTCCTCCTCCTCCATGGGAACAGCCGAGGAGAAGCCTGAGGGACGCGCTGCACCGGCCCTGTCCCTGTGAGGGGCTGTGAGCTAAAGGCCGGCGCCCCCGAAGCCTCCGGGGACCAGAGATACCGATAACCTCCTTTGCCTTTAATCTGAATTACTTTCCCTTTTGCTCCTCGGACCGCGGCGCCGCACACACTCCTCGTGCGGTTACCAGAGCCATCTTTGTGCGGGGCACCGCTCTGCAACCCGAGCCCCGGGGCCTCCATCCGGGGTCTGGGTCTAGGTTCAGATTTACAATGCTAATTTTTTCTTATCTGATTATTATTATTATTATCCGTTATTATTATCTGTGGTTATTATTATTATCTGTGGTTATTATTATTATCTGTGGTTATTATTATTATCTGTGGTTATTATTATTATCTGTGGTTATTATTATTATCTGTGGTTATTATTATTATCTGTGGTTATTATTATTATCTGTGGTTATTATTATTATCTGTGGTTATTATTATTATCTGTGGTTATTATTATTATCTGTGGTTGCTAAACTGTTGTCTTCTTTTCAGCGGCCGGTAGTCACCTCGAATTATCAAATGTTGCTGCAGATATTGCAATACATTTCTCTGATGATCTTCAACCTACATCTACTGTCTCCCACTCTCTGCTGAATGAAAGCTGCTATACTGTCACCAGTTCTTTATCCCCATTTTTGTGGATCCATAAAACAAGTTTATAGTGACAATTGAAGTAGGGGTAAAAGCCAGTGTTAAACTTAACCAGTCTTGCTGCAGGTCCTTCCTATTGCTATTGCAGTTATGCTGGGACAGTCAAGCCACCCTGCTGACTGACTGACCTTGAGCAAGGTCAGAGTCAGTCATCCTGATGACTGTAAGAATCTTGCCCTCTCGAGATTAGTTTGGACCATCTGCCCACAGCAGCATCAACCTGCTTTTCAAATGCGTCCAGTGTCCTATCCAGGACCATCCTTACTGGGCAACCTATTCCAGTCGTTAATTACCTTGTGAGTAAAGAAACACTTACTAGTATCTGTCCTGAAATTGCCCTTTGCAAATCTTCTCAACTTGGAGAAGGCTTCCTCATCTATGCTGTTGAAGGTGAGCGTTTAAAAAGGAACTGGATAACAACAACATGCATTTATATAGCCCCCTTCACCTACGATGATGCCTCTGAGTGTTACACAATGGTGGGAGTGAATGCTGAGCTAGGAGGAAGGGGAGGTTGAATATGTAATAATAATCCTTGCATTTGATATAGCGCCTTATCACATCATTGACACGTCTCAAAGCATTTCACAGGATGTAGTGTAAAGTGGATTGACTGTATTTTGTGAGTGAAATAGTGGGAATTGAAGATAGATAAAGAGGGGATGTGGCAGAGAGATCGCTGAAGAGTGTTCCAGAGGTTGGAGATGTCGTGACTGAAGACTTGGCAACTGATGGAGAGGGATAAACAAATATAGAGGAATAGGATTAGAGGAGATAATTGCAGTTGGGGAGTGAGCACCAAACACAGACACAATGAGCTGAATGGCTACTTTCTATGCTGCAAACCTTCTATGATTCTACATAGTGTAATGATAGCATATGGCATATGCATTATAATCAATTAAACCTTTAGCTATTTACCAATTACAAATGCCCTGTTTTACATAAAAATCTCATCATAATATTTAACTTCCTGGATTGTTTGCTTACTTAATCCTGAGTCAGCCTTTTTGCTGTTTGAAAATTTGGCCCATCTATCACCATCTATTACCCATGTTATCACCCTGTTTCATAAAAAGGTTCAGAATTCTAGCAAAACTGAATCTTGCCTGCCCATCATGCATACAGTACAGGTCCCTAAAATGATCCCTAGTATTGGATTTCTGGATGGTCTATAGAATCTATACCAACTGGGTTACTTTGCACAGCCTGCTCCAAAGCTACTGACCCAGTTGCCCACCCCCAGCTCAGCAAACAACAGCTTGCTTCATGTCCCCTGAGCGAACCGCTTTGCCATCAGTGAGCAAACTTTCAGCTATCCTGCCTCACTGTTTGGAACTCCATAGGGGAGTCCTTCCGTCTCAACGCACCCACCTTTCCATTTTAAAGCCTTCCTTAAGACCTATCCCCCAATGTGAAATAAGTGTCAATCATTATTATTTTAACAATTTTGAAACAGAGCATTTAAAAAACTGGATTATTTCCTAGTACTACGTGAACATAGATTGAATTGTTTGTATTTCATGCCCAGTTTACACTGCTGGAAGCAAAGCAAAATGCTTCCAGCAGTGATAAAAAGAAGTAAGTCTGATTACTTCCTGCTCATAATCACTTTGCCTGGGGCCTGAGAAGAGTTCTGATTGTGTGTAAAAACTAGGTATTAGTTTTTAATGTTATTAAAGAGTCAGTCGCCCGACTGTCTTTCAATAACATTAAAAATGATTTCTTAAAAGTTCTTGGGTGGTCTGTTGGCCCTTCTAAAACCTCTTAAGGGATTATTTTCAAGAATATTCTTGTTCAATTTGCACCGTTTGCAATTTTCTGTGCAAACTATACTTGACTAACTGTAACTAATGTGTAAATGTACATTAATATTTTAAAGGCAGGTCCGACACAAGACAAAAAGTCCTTCTGTTGGACATTATAAGATGAATTTTTTGACATTGGTGTGGAGGAAATTAGAATTTGGGACATGAAGCAAGCTGTTGTTTGCTGAACTGGGGGTGGGCAACTGGGTCAGTAGCTTTGGAGCAGGTCCCAGCGTCCAGAGATTTCAAAGGCTGTGCAAAGTAACCCAGAATTTCACATACAGTTTACTTTGAGAAAATATTTTTTTCTATGGAGAACAAATTGCACTCAGAATGTTGATGGACCATCAAGATAGCACACTGAAACTAACAGCATTGAATACCTTGGGCTGCAAACTGTTGGTGAGAAATCTAATGGGCAGATAAAATAACAGTCTATAATTGTCAACATGGGTAGCAGATTGATGGCATTCAAATGAACTGAATACACTACATCGCAAGGAAACTATTCTTTTGAGGGATGGGGTAGTTCAATGAAGAATAAAGGGAATTTGGCAACTTAGAGGCCTCGGGGTACTGTAACATTGGGTTCATTTGGACAGCTCAATTTCAAAGTTTGAATGACTAGGTGAGCATCATTATCAATAGGCTGGGGCTCCTTGATTCCTGAGACACTGAGTTTCTCAAAATAAGCTATCTCTAGATGACTCGCCAAACCTAATTGAAGGTATCTGCTTTCAGATATACCTAGAAGGGATTCAATTATAGACTGTTATTTTATCTGCCAAAGGTGGGGCAACCAACAGTTTGCAGCCCAACTGTTAGTTTCAGTGTGCTAAGTGCAATTTGTTCTCCATAGAAAAAAATATTTTGAAACACTATAGAAAATCACATCTATAAAATAGTGGCATTACCTAGAGCCTTTACTTACCAGGATTAATTCTTTCTCTTCGTTGTTTGTTTAATGAATACCACTTAGAAAGGTGTGTATATAAATGTTATCATGGAAATTACATTGATACCATAGGACAATACAGTACCGGAAACCCATAGTCATTTCTGCAAGGAACTATAGCCTTAGGCTACTTTTTTGAACAAATGACTGTGAAATCATAAACCTCTTTGGTAACCATGAAACAGGTAGAACAAAATAACAATCACTGCCTAATGTTTTCAGTCTATGTTTTTGAGGGGGGTAGCTGGGGTAAGGAAGTTTCTTTCATATATATTTTTATAAAAAGCTATATGAGTACATCACAAGCTGTTACTACAATTTCAGTCACCCTCCAGCACTCAAAAACATTGAGATGGACAACTAAAAAAAGTTTGTGAATTTGTAAGAAAAAAAATTGTCTGGTCAATTAAAAATCCAACAACTTGCATTTATTAGCCCACAAAATATAGTCAATTCACTTTACAATGTATTCTGTGAAGTGCTCTGAGACGTCTTGAAGACAAGATAGGGCTCTATATCAAATGCAAGGATTATTATACAGCACCCCTCATGCAGGGTAGCAACCCAGAGTGCTTGAAAAATAACTCCTGGGGGTGTTGAAAGCTCAAAGTATAAAAGTATTTTGTGGTGTGATTTGAAGATCCCTGATTAAAAGCCCAGTGTTTGCTGTGTTTGTAGAATTCAGACAGGGTGGGAGTGGGGGCACTAAATTAGTGTCTCAGGATTAGACAGGGGAAATTAGTCAGGGCCCCTGCTCCTGATTGATATCCAGTGACCTCGGCTGGAAAGTACACATGTGGATGTCGATGAGGACAGGATCTGTGGTCAGTTATGATAAGCCCCTGTGGTCATCTTGTCTGCTAACACTCACTGTTTGCAGTGTATGTTCATACATAAAACAGGCACTTAGATGAGTTACCAGAAGGCCTATTGAAACTCATGGAACCATATCCCAGCTTGAGTCACAGACCTCAAGAAAGATGGAGAGGGAAAGAAAAATCACATAATGTTTGCTTAAATATCTTAGTTTATTTAATTCCAGCAAAAAAAAGACAGAAAAATAAATTTGCCAAAATTATAATCATGGTTCATTGTAAATGTATCACAGGAAAGTTACTGTGGGAGAAACATTACTTGTGAATGAAGTGCGAGCTGGAATTGAAATGTGATCACTTGAGAAGTAGAGGTGAAAAAGGCCCTTTGGCCATTTTGATATCCAGAATACCCACTCTACTGTCTTCCTTGAACTGTTTTCAACTGAATCCATTATCCCAATGTCTACTCTCTTCCTAGTAACCCACCTCAGTTTGATTAACCTTTGTGTAAAGCAATACTTCCGAGTGTCTGTCCTATATTTGCATTTCAAAACAGTGAACCTGCACCCTTTTGTCCTGTTGCTTTGGCATATCAAACTATTGTTCTGGGTTTACCTTTGATATAACTCTATCAGACCCCTCTGAAATGCTTCTTAAAGATGAACAGACTCTTTTTATAGTACAAAGAAACCCCATTAAAGAACGCCATTGTGTAGTGGTGTCTCACTTCTGAATGGAAGCACAGTACACAAAACCTATGGGGCTGACGAGCTAACAATGGCCAACTTCCAGGTCATCAGGTGAACCTTGAGGTCACTTACTGTACATTGTGTACAAGCGCACCATAGCCAGAAAGTGCCATTGGTGTCACTTGCTGCACCTGAGCAAACACGTTATGCATAGGAAACACAGTTGATGTTGTATCAATACAATACAAAACTACATTTGTGTAGCGCCTTTCACGTCCAAAGGAAGCGACATGAGTGGGTTTCTTGCTCATCGCATGCATGTCAATGTAGTTTGTGGCATTTCCTGCAAGTAGTGCGCAGGTAACAGGACGTGATGCCAGCAGTGACCTGGCAGTCCAGAAGTTGGATTGTCAGGTCACGTTTTGCATATAACACAATAAAAATTACATTTGTAAAGCTCCTTTTACGTCGGGAGGACGTCTCAAAGCGCTGAACAGTCAGGGATTAGGATCCGAGCGGGAGGAGGGGTGGGGGTTGAGATCAGGGAGAGTGGAAGGCAGAGAGGGTAGGAGGATGGCCGAAGGCACGGTTGAAGAGGCGGATCTTGAAAGAAGAAAGGGAAGGAGCGAGATAAAGGGAATGTGGAATAGAGTTCCAGAGGGGGTGCAGAGAGGCTGAAGGCCCAACTGCCTATGGTGGGGTGGGCCAGGCAGGGGAAATGGAGTAGGCGAGAGCCTGCTGAGTGGAGGGTGCGGACAGGTTGATTTGGGGTTAGCAGGTCGGAGAGGTAGGAAGGATCAAGGCCATGGAGGGACTTGAAGGTGAGGACGAGGATTTTGAACTCAATCTTGGGTGTCATGTGGTCACGGAGCCTGGTGCAGGAGAGGACACAAGCTGCAGAGTTCTGGTTGATCTGCAGCTTGTGGAGGGAAGAGTTGGGAACGCTGACAGGCAGGCTGTTGGCATTGTCAAGCCTAATTGTAATGAAGGCATGTGTGAGGATTTTGGCAGCCTGAGGGGTGAGGCAGTGGCGGAGTCGGGCAGTGTTGCAGAGGTGGGGGAAGGCAGTGCGGGTCATGGCATGGATGTGGGGAGAAAGGAGACTTGAGGGTCGAAAAAGATGCCAAGGTTCCTGAGTGGCTTGGTGAGGTGGAGTGTGCATCTGTGGATGTTGATGCTCCCAGTGCCTGAGATGCGAAGGTGCTGGCATGAGCCAATCAGGAGAGCCTCTGTCTTGCAGACGTTCAACTGTAGAAAGTTGGCTCTCATCTAGGACTTGAGGACATAAATAGTCCTGGAGTCGAGGGTGGAGGCAGAGAGATAGAATTGGATGTCATCCGCAAACACATGGAAGTTGAAGAGAAGAGGATCGAGGACAGAGCCCTGAGGAACACCGCACAAGACGGTGGGGGGGGGCTAGAGGAGAAGCCATTTGTGGAGACAAAGTGGAACCAGTGTGAGAGATAGGAACTGAACCATTCAAGGACAGAAGCTTGAAGGTTGAAGTAGAGGGAGGCAGTGGAGGAGGATAGAGTGGTCCACAGTGTTGTGGACAGCAGAGAGGACGAGGAGACAGAGGGATCCCCGGTCACAGATGGACAGATTATCATTTATCACCTTGACCAAAGCTGTTTCCATGCTGTGGATTTGTAAAGGGAGTGGCAGGACATGAAGGAGTGAAGCTGGGAAGTAACAACTCTTTCAAGGATCTTGGAAAAGAAAGGGAGGTTGGAGATGGGGCAGTAGTTTGTCAGTAGGGATTGGTCCAGGGAAGGTTTGTTTAGGATAGGGGTGATGAAGGCTATTTTTAGGGGAATGGGAACAGTGCCAGTTGACAGTGAGAGGTTGATGAGGTCTGAGATTAAAGGGGCGAGACGGTGGAGCTGGGATGTAAGGAGAGGGGTAGGGATGGAGTCAAAGGAGAAGGTGGTGGGCTTCATGTGGGTTATAGTGGTGGCAAGAGAGGAGGGAAAAACAGGTTCAAAAGTGAGGAGGGAGGGATGGGTGGGGGCTGGAGTGTGAGGGAGAAATGAGGAGGGGGTGGCGGTCGAAAGGGCAGAGGTAGCTGAACGGATCCCCTCGATTTTGGTCTTGAGGAAATCCAGCATCTCTTCACAGTTGGAGTTGGAGGAGAGGATGAACGAGGCGTGAGAGAGTGGACGGAGGAGCCGGTTGATAGTGGAGCAGAGGAGCTTGGGGTTGTCCTTGGCCTCCAAGATTATCTTGGACTAGAAGGACAATTTAACGGATGCGAGAGCAGAGCGGTAGGTTTTTACGTGGTCTAACCGCTAGCCCACCAGCAGATATAACACATCTAATGAGAGTTTGGACCCAACCTTCTACATTATATTGAGGTTTCCCTCTACATCCCTCTCATATTGGAGATAAGCCTCCTTGTTCTCTTCTATACCGTATCTACAGCCTGGGTAGCTTCCTTATGTCACAAAAACCATAATGAATTCTGAACACCAGGATTGGAAACTCATGCTTTCATTGTATTTAATGTTAAATGACTTCTTCCACACCAGGCTGCATGACCCTACCACCCCCGTTTTCCCGAGGATGGAGTTCAAAATCCTTGTCCTCGCCTTCAAACCCATCACAGCCTTGCCCCTTCGTATCTCTGTTAACCCCTTGTCAACCTGTCCGTTCTCTCCACTCAGCCTGCTCCACGTCACCCGCCTGGCCCAGCCCCCACCAGCAGTCGAGCCTTCAGCCTCTCTGGCCCCACCCTCTGGAACTCCACCTCACACATGCTTTGCCTCGCTCCCTCCTTTGACTCCTTCAAGGCACGTCTCAAGACCCGCTTCTTCGATTGCCCCTTTGGCCACCTTCCTACCCTCCACCCTCCTCCTCCACCCTCCTGATCCCAATCTGCTCAGGTCCAAATTTCTGACTGACCAGTGCCTTGGGACATCCTCTTGACGTGAAAGGCGCTGTACAAATGTAGTTTGTTGTTGTTAAAATAAATTGTTGTGACTAATTATATTACATGGTCGTGCTGTATCATTTAAAGATCTATTATTAGCGTTTACTCCTTTTTTGAATTTTAGGGCAGAGAAAGTGTATTAGTGAATCAAATTGTCCAACAAGGCTTCAAGGGATTGCCTAGTCAAACATGGTACTTTTATATCTCATTGAAAAATTGATACATCAATTATCTTCTAGTAAAGATGATAAGTTTGCATCTAAAAAGTCAGGGATAAGAATGAGATGAACGTCTACAGGCCTGAGAAAAACTTCACCATTTTCATATTTCTTTTCTGAAAATGTTAAGCAGAAAGCATGATTTTGCCCAAGTGCAGCACAGAACAAAGCCACAGCAGCACAGACTGCAGTGTCTTGTTTCAAATAGTGTACGTAGGGCAAAACTCATTGTTCAGGATCGCTTCTGGCTCTTCTGTCATTTTAGAAAGCTGGAGAGTGATGGTGTGACCTCTGGTACATGCAATTACAACAGAGATAAAGACAACTGATAGGAATATATGGATGAATGGACAAAGAAGCTGAGACTTGATTGATGCTTTTCCTATAGTTTTATTTTGTGAGAAAGCACATGACACTGGTGGAAGACATTAAAAAGTCTAGACAAAATGGCTTCTTAAATCAAAACAGTGGATTTGTAAAGAAATTAACAGTGATTTGCCTTTGAGTTATTGGTAATGTAAAGCTAATTTTAGAGTTTGTACACTCTTAAAAACCCTGCAACAAAAAGTTCAAAGTAAGACTGGAAAATTTGAATAGCAAGAACGCTATTACCAATACAAAGTGTATCTTACATTATACATACAGTATTTACATTCCAATCTCTGACTACAAAATATGAAAAATATTTAGATACATGACAAAACCATAAAAACATACAATGAATATTTCTCTAGTACCAAATGTAACTGTTTATTAAATAATTACATTGAAAAATAATAAATAGATAGCGAAAGCTCTTTGTAACTGCTGAAATGCACATGTCCTCATTCAGATTTAATAGGAGAATTGGCTTATATAGTCCTTGTCCATTAAATAAACATTGCATGTAGTTGCTTTAAATGAGCCAATGGAATCAAGTTTTGGTGGACTCTATGTTAAATGGTAAGCTCCTGGATGGTTGTCTGCAATGCTATCGCTCTGTGTGAAGGGCACTATATAAATGCAAGTTGTTGTTTGTATTCATAAACAACAGAAACTAATAAAATTTTCGATTGCGTTGAATAAATAACGAATGATGGGTTAGGTAATGGTAAATAAATGTTCACAATTTATTTACTTCATACCCTTGTTCTGCTACTCTTTGGGCCCCGAAGATGCATCATTAAATTTCTGGAGGCACAGCAGATTTGAGAACAAGATATTTTAAATCACACGTGGAGCACTAAGCAGATTAGTGTTCTTAATGCAGGAAATATCAACTGTATCTACATAGAATAACCAGTTCATCTGAAAAAGAAGAAATAATATTCACCAGAAGCAAAAAAATAAAGGATAACTGGGACAATTGAAGCTTCTTTGGCTTCAAACAGAAGGGACTGCAGTTCGAATCAGTGCTGAGGAGCCAACATTGCTGCATCTCATTTTAATTTCTGTTTGAACAGACCAACGCTGCACCATCACTGCCTGTCTGGAGCTGTGTTGGGTGTGAATGATGCACAGTGAGGAATGCTATTGAAAACGTTAAAGCACCAGGACCCCGAGCAGGTGCTGCCGGTGCAGGGATCTGGTGAATAATACTTATATGCCGGACCGTACCACTCATCCTTCTTTATTGAATCATACCTAACACGTACGGAATAAGCTTTAGTTAATAAAATGCAGAACAGCAACAGCAATAGGGGAGGGGGCAGTCAGTCCATCCCATCCCATCCATCCCTGCCCAGTGCGGTCCAGGCAGTGGGAGGAATTCACTGCTTATCCTCGATGTCGTGCCAGTTGGCCTTGTGCCTGGCCTCCCCCCTGCCCGCCTTGCGGGATCTTTTCTTGCTCTGGGATGGCCTCTTTTTGGCCTCCTCCAAGTTGACGTGGCCCGACTCGTTGTGCTGGCGGGTGTACCTCTTGCACTTGCAGGAGGTGACCACCGTGATCTTGTAGGTGCGGGTGCCCCCGTTCTGGCACTGGAGCTGGATCCTCTGGGTGCGGGTCTTGTCGGTCACACAGCGCCACTCCTGGGTGTTTCTCCTGCTCCAGTACTTTCTGCCGTAGCCCCCGATCCAATTGGGGAGGACCGGCATCGGTAAGCACTCCCCAGCGCAGACCAACTCCTTCACCGGGTTAATGCTGGTGCACAGCCCGTCCGAAATGTATTTGGTGGATCTCAGTTCCCGGCAGCCGACCTGAGTGCGATCTGCAATTTTTTTTGTGTCGGAAGAAGAGGGGAGAGGAAAACTGTCACAGTGAGTTGTGGCTCTGCAAAAAAAAATTCCCACATCACCGGGGAATCCGCCCAACCCTCGTGCGTCCGCAGCCTCCGCCCCTTTGACTGCATGTGTTGTCCCCACTGCCTGAAACTTCACCTGCGAATGTGTTTGCCAAACAGATCCCCCGTTTGTGTTGTAAATATCAAGTCAGCATTCACTCGATGTTTTGTCATATGTTCCTTCTGGGCCCTGGAAGGTCATCGGCAATAAAGCCGCGCAAGACATGCAAGAGACTTTATGGCTCAAATAAGTCTGAGCTGTGATTCCCTTTCAGTCGGTTTTTGGAGGCTTTGCCTCGCTAAGTCGACGTGTGATACTGCACTGATCTGAAGTGTCCTGTCATCTCCAGTGCTGTAAACGCTCACCACTTCAAAGTGAGTTAATTTAACTATATTTAGAAGGATGCACTCGTGATTCACTGCCAATGCTCTTCTGTGAGTCCACCCGACACACAGTAACCTGACTGTGAGCACACTTTCAATTTGGAATAAGTGCACTGAAATTCTGCCGACACGAACATCTGCCACTTAAGTGCTGTCGGTTCCTTTGAAGGCAGTACAAAGATAGGTTAATTTCAAGTTTAGTCAACACGATAGCGCATGTAATCCTAGCAACTGTAACCCAAAACTAGCTCAACATTCAAATGTCACTTGAAACCCTCATGCAATGTGTGTCTGTTTCTCACAAACCCACTTGCATATACAAACCCATATGCAGAAACTCAAGGAGAGTTTTTTTTAATGACTTATTTTTAACAGTTTATTGCAATCCGAACAGGGTACTCCACAAAGTTTAAAATCACAGGCAATTTAATACAGTAGTAAGATCTGAAAGAGCAGCTCAATTTCCTGGATAGTGTATTTATTAAAGCTTTGATAATATATTTATTTTTTGCACTTCAATCTTTGTCCCTCTTTTGCTTTCATTCCATCATTTTTCTCTCTTTTTTTATGTGCAATTAGATGCATTCTACACGCCAGTCATGTTATAAATCAGATCATTTAGTGCGTAGAAACATTTGTTTGCAATACAGGTACATCAAAAATAATTTGAATTATACGCCTGCAGATATGTGAACAGTTAATTTCACAGAAAAATGCGGTGAATAAGTCATACCTACAATATGGAATATTTAAAATCACATTGAAATTATTTTTTTTAAAACATATGTAAAAACATACCATTGCGATTCAGCTGCACGGAGGTAGGTTGTCGTCCTCCATTTCTTGCTTGATTTGACGTTAAATTGCTTGGGCTTTCAGGTCTTACCACATGGTGATTGTACAATATTTCTGTAGCATCATTTTTTGCTTGTCCAACACCCTTGTCAAAAGCAAAGCAGCTTTCGAAAAAGATGCACACTATCACAAAGAAAGTGCAATCAAACGGCTGCAAAACCATGGCTCTAAGACGTCTCAGAGTGAAGACCTGGTTGTAAAGCTGCAGGTTTTGTACAGGAGGAGTTTCTGTGCCTCCCTTTTATAAAGCTCCTTGGCTCTCATTCAAGTGAAAACACTGTGAAGCTTCAGAATGGAAACCCACACAAAGCCTTGTAACCAATGGCAAACCGATCACACACACACACACACACACACAAGTGTGGTCTATGCAAATTGCACGTCAGTTTCAAATTTCACACTACTCGTGTTTCACATTGTGAAATATTTCTTTTGTAACGCCCCTTAAAGAAACACTACCCTCAATGGCATATGCCACACGCTGATCTTTCGAAGGTGCACACCCAACGCGGTTTGTTTTACAAATCTCGAATTGTTTTGAAAGATTACGATGCATGGGATTCATGGTGTTGAGGAATCATTCATAAATTATAAGTGTGTATTGCTCCTGTAATCAGCGGAAAAGTAAGAAAAATATTTTCTTACAAAATTGCACTAAACTGTATTGTCGTTTATAATACATACTGACTACATCATTGTCAGTACCACACAATGACAAAAAAATCCTGTACTAGTGGTTTGCCACCACTTAATATAAATAGGGACATTTGACAGAAATCACTTAATCTTTTCAGATAATAAAAACAATTTTCAAACAGCTTCGTGAGCTTGCTAATTAAATCCGTACTTTCAATGGGAGTTTCTCAAATACCACAAGTATTGTTTTTAAAAAACGGAAAATGGCAAATAAATCTAATGCGGAGTTTAAAATAAGAGTGTGCAATATTACCGCGACCTCATTACGTGCCACACAGAGACACTGCCACACAGCCTGATTCCAGGACCCTCAGAATGCTTCCCACTGCCTCAATATTATTAATGAAAATTGATACAGCTTGCATATATTATTTGAACTAATACTGGGATGGAATGTATGGAGGTCTGTGAACTCAATCATGGCATGCTGTTCACTAGCCAAAACTGCCCATAAGTTTTGCCTTTGTAGTTTGTAGCATTGTCAGACCTTTTCAGTGCAGTTCGGTTTTTGTAATAGACTGATAGGTCTGTTATTCTGCATATTAGAGGAACATTGTGTTTTAGCTTGCTGTTCTTGATAATAAGATTTCTAATGTTGTGATTCTATAATAATGAAATAATGTCTGATTTGATATAGCACCTTTCATGTTAGGAAGATGTCTCAAAGTTCTTTGTAGGATTTACCTACAGTGATTATATTTTTGTAGGCGAATGCAACAGCCAATTTGTAGGCAGAAAATGTCTCACAAACAACCACAAATTGAATGACCACTAGGAAGAGAAACCTCTAAATGAAAAATGAGCAGTGTAAAAACGCATGCAATTTTTCAAAAACAATTATTACCCTATTTATAGTGCAATTACCATTCTGTATGCAAATCAAATGGATACTGAAAATGTAGTACAAATTAGATTTAAAATATAGTGATTCTAATCCAAATCGCACAACAGAAACTACCTCCAAAGGTCTGAAATTCCACAGAATCTTCGCCTGTAAGGAAATGTGATCTTGAGATTTAACAACGTGCAGAATTCTGAAAAATTCTTAAATTCAGCCTTAATTTCTTAGTCAGTTCTTAAACCAAACTTACTTCTAAAATTAAAATTAAATTTTAAGAATTTTCTCATTTCTGTGCAGTCTTAAATTGATTATGTGTGTCTTATTTTTGTTTAAGACACACAAAATCAATTTAAATGTTATCAGTTAGCACATTGAACCAGTTTTTATATTAAATAAGTGCTCACACTCTTGGTTCTTTAATAACCAATTCTTCTCCATTCTTCGCAGCCCATTCAGAGTAAATTTGAGTGGGAAATCAGAATCCTGCTCCAAATTCATCTTGTGATGACCAATTGCCTCAATAATGTAAGTGAGGCATTTAACTGCATGTACGCACCATCTTTAAACTGTCCCTGCTTTCCTTGTAATTTATGAGATAATCACCAAGAATGATATGTTCATTATTATATCTGTTACTATTATGTGATAGAAATGAAGAGAGGACCAGGGGAGGGGGTGTAGACATGTTAGCTAGAGATTGCTCTCAGCTTTATCTAAATTGCAGAGCACGGTTTTCTTTACTTAAGCAAATTGTAGCATGCTGCTCCTTTAAACATGTACTACAGTGTCAATTTTATGGGTGTGATTCCATTATCAATCAGCTGAACCTGAAAATGATAGCACTTCAAAAATGCAACCGTGGGCTTCCTTATGGCCCCATTAATAAAATAAACGTGTGGCGTAACACCTAACAATAGTCACCAGAAAAGTGCTAGATTCAGTATCTGTTCTGCGATGAATTAGGTGCTCTCAACTGGGACAGCAGTGAGAGTGCTATGAATAGACGTCTCATGAGCTACAAGAAAAAAGCACAGTTCCTGCTGTCAGATCATTATCCAGTAACCAGTACTTGAAAAATGAATGTATACATTCGGTGACAACATAGTTGACAAAGGCACGGCTGCCATACTTGTGTGGTTGAAGAGCCTGCTTTCCCTCACTTTTTGTTCATCATGAAGAAGCGCTGTTTGAGTGACGTATCAGAAGGCTGACAGCATCCATAGAACCATATAACTTACTTACTGCCTTCAGGAGAAGGTAAAGCTTGACTGGAGAGAGTGAGGGGTGGTGGGAGGGGGGGATTTAAGTACAATACTTCAGTGGCTGTAGCTCTATATTTCAATTAAATATTTTTACATTATTTTCTTTGAAGCACTTTGAGACATCTCAATGACGTGATAAGGCGTTATATCAAATGTAAGGGTTATTATTATTTATTATGTTTTAATTCATCAAACAAACCTCCAAGTTATATGTTAACTCCTACTCCCTCCATGAGCCCCTCCAATCTGGTTTCCATACTGCTCACAGCATGGAAACAGCTCTGGTCAAGGTCACAAATGGCATCCTGACCATGTGTGACCAGGGCTCCCTCTGCCTCCTCGTCCTTCTTGACCTTTCTGCGCCTTTGATACTGTGGACCACTCAATCCTCCTCCACCGCCTCTCCTCCCACCTCAACCTTTAAGGTTCTGTCTTGACTGGTTCAGGTCCTACTTTTCACACCGCCTCCACTTCGTCTCAGCAAACAGCTTCTCCTCCACCCCCCGCACCGTCTTGTGCAGCGTTCCTCAGGGCTCTGTCCTCGGTCCTCACCTCTTCACCCTCTACATACTCCCCATTTGTGACATAATCCGCAAGCATGGGGTAAATTTCTATATGTATGCGGATGAGACCCAACTCTCTCTCTCTGCCTCCACCCTCAACTCCAGGACTACTGGCGTCCTGACCGACTGCCGTCCGACATCAAATTCTGGACGAGTGACATCTTTCTCCAACTGAAAGTCAGCAAGACCGAGGCCCACCTGATTGTCTCGCGCCAGCGCCTCCGCACCTTGGACCCTGGCAGCATCAGCCTCCACGGCTGCACACTCAGCCTCACTAAGCCAGTCAGGAACTTGGGTGTCTTGCTTGACCCTGAACTGTCTCCCCCACATCCGCGCCATGACCAGCACTGTCACACCACCTCTGCAACATTACCAGACTCTGCCACTCCCTCACTCCTCAGGCTACCGAAACCCTCACCCATGCATTTGTCATATCAAGGCTCGATTATGGAAACTCCCTCCTCATCGGCCTTCCCAACTCTTCCCTTCACAAGCTGCAGATCATCCAAAATTCTGCAGCTCATGTACTCTCGCGCACCAGGCTCCGCGACCCCATCACTCGCACCCTCGCCCGACTCCACTGGCTCCCCATCCCCCAGAGGATCGAGTTCAAGATCCTCACTTTCAAGGCCATCCATGGCCTTGTCCCCTCCTACCTCTCTGACCTGCTGACTCCCTACAAACCTGCCCGCTCCCTCCAATCAGCGAGCTCCGGGCTGCTTCATATCTCCTAATCCGCCCCTACCATCGGTGGCCGGGGTTTCGTCCTCTCTGCTCCCTCACTCTGGAACTCCATCCCACAGTCCTTTCGCCTCGCTTCCTCCCTTGCCACCTTCAAGGCCGGTCTCAAGACCCTCCTCTTCGATCGTGCCTTCAGTCGCCCTCCCACCTCTCTGCCGTCCCTCACCCCTACCCCATCCCTTCCCCATGCTCGGGTCCTGACTCCTGACTGTCCAGCGCCTTGGGACGTCCTCCTGATGTGAAAGGCACTCTATAAATGTAATTTTGTTGTTGTTGTTGTTAGGGAGTGCAATCTACATTGTTTGTGAGAAAGAGCTAGATAACATAACAATAACATTAGGTATGCAATCTTCCTCACATCCTGAGAGAAAAAATATCAATGCTCAGATGTTTGTGGCTTGAGAGCAAAGTAGATACGTGACAAAATATTTGATCAGAACAAACACGTCTAGAACCAAAGTAAGCGAACAGCACAGCCAAGTGAGCAATAAATATGTCAGTTTCGCATAAATGTGCCCAAAGTATTTTTTTACATAACAATTTAAAGAGACTGTAAATGACTGAACATGTTGTAGTTTTCATCAAATGAAGCCTTCATTGTTTTAAGATTTAGTAATGCTTACAGTAAAACAGGATGTAATTAAACAATCACGGAAGCAGACAAAACGTGTCAGTGGAATGTGAGAATTTTAACAAAAATTGATTTTTTTTGGTGGGGGAGTTCAAAGTAACCCTTTAGGGTTTTTTTTTAGAGATAACCAACAAAACGGTATTTTGCCAAAATACACCACTTCCAATGATAAATTCTATGTGAATCCTGGCCTCTTGACAGTACTGGACTAAAACTAAATGGAGAAGAATACAGACCTCAGCTCTGATTTTCCATCACCATAGATATTACTTCCACTCAGTCACCCTCTGGCCTGTGGTCTGCTTGAGGTGAGCAACCTGTTGTGTGCAGAAATCATGGTGAATGCATGGTAAATGCATGAATTTTGATAAAATCACTTAAGGCATAGAAATGCTACCATATATGTTGGGTTCTGCAGTGGGACAAAAGTGCACTCTTCTAAGTTATGTAGCTCCTGCTGGAAGTACAATTGTTCATTAACAAATATTAAAATGCATTCATAGAAAAGTCTATCAAGCCTCTCCTGGTGTTCAGAGTTGAAAGGTTATGTCTTTTAGTACTAAAACTACTGAA